TATTGCCCATCAGAAGGGCTAAACTCAAATACAATGATAATACCAAATCTTGGTGAGAGTGTGGAGTCATTGAAATACTTTTACATTTTTGGCAGAATCATACATTATACCATCAATTCTGGAATGTGTGAAAGTGTCTATTAAAACTAAAAATATGTTCACCCAGAGTCCAGCAACTCTGTTCCCATTCATGTGCCCAAGAAAATAAGTGCTCTCTAGGAGAAGAGAGGTGGCCAGATAAATCTTCACAGTATCCCATTGTCCTTTGCCTCAGAGGCTGGGCAGGCATCTAAGCAGACACAGATAGGAGCTGGGCAGGAGAACACTTCCCGTCACCAGAAGTCTGCCTGAGCTCCAGTCTCAGAACGAGCTCATAGCTAGATTCCCTATCTGGGAAATGACACTCCTGGTCACTGGCTTAAACTACTAGGTCTTTTTAATATTTACTTTATGTGAAGGGTGTTCTGCCGGCATGTAAGTCTGTGCACCAACACGAGTGCCTGGAGCCCACAGAGACCAGAAGAGGGTGTCAGAGCCTCTCGATGTGGACTTCACGGATGATCGATCGTCAGCTGCCATGAGTGTGGTGCAGAGAATCAAATGTGGGTCCTCTGCAAGAGCAGCCTGTGCTCTTAACTGCCGAGTCATCCCTCCTGCCCCTTAAAGGACCAAGTATTTGTATAACCAGTAATCCCCTTCCACCCTTCTACCTCAAAATGCCATGAGTTACAAATTGTAGCTGGCTTTCTCCACGTAAGTTTACCCTGTCCTTTTCCCCTGACGCCGCCTCCTCCTCCTCTTCCTCCTCCTCCTTCTCCTCCTCCTCCTCCTCTTCCTCTTCTTCCTCCTCTTCCTCTTCTTCCTCCTCTTCCTCTTCTTCCTCCTCTTCCTCCTCTTCCTCCTCTTCCTCCTCCTTTCTCCTCTTTCTTTTCTTCCTTCTCTTCTTCTTCCTCTTCTTCTTCCTCCTCCTCCTCTTCCTTCTCTTCCTCATTCTCCTCCTGACCATTCATTCATAAGGGAGCATAGGCTTTGACCATGGATGGTATCCACAGAAAGTGTATGAAAATCTCCTAGAGAAAAGAAAGACAAGATGCAATGTCTTTCTCTTGAGCCAAGCTCCATCTTCTTCCGTGGAACCCACTCTGCAAAGGAAAGCTCCAGATTCTCAGTTACCCGGTTCCCTCGGGATGCCCCTCGTTGTTATTGATCCCTGATTTTAAAGGTCCATCTTTGATTTATTAGACAGCAGACAGTGCTATGCTGAGCATGTTTCCACAGAGGACAGAACAAGAGAGGATGCCCTTATTCAGAAAGAGGAGGCAGAGGCAGCCTTGAACTAGCAGGGAGACACTCCTGGACTCTGGAAGGGAGACCCAGTGACCTCTCCTAGCACTTACAGAATACCTCTACCAATGTATCTGCGCCTCTTAAGACAGTTGAGAAAGGTGCTTTGGCTCAGGAGAACGCTTCACTTCCCCAGAAATCTGCCTGCGCTGCAGTCTCGGGACGAGCTCATAGCTGGATTCCAATTTCCTAGCGACATGAGAAGCATAAGCAGGTCTCCCTGGCTGGCTGCCTTCGCTCAGCAGATTAATTTATGCATGCTATTCTGCTCTTTGAGAAAGTGCCTTAAATAGTGAGGAGAGGAGCTTGTGAATTCCAGTGGGGCATCCAGCTCACGCTGATCCAGAGGGAAGGGAGGTAGGCTGACTTCCCACCATCTCTGCTGTCATTGCTGGGGCTCAGGAAGGCTGCCCCCTGAGAGCTGGCAGCCAAGGGTGAAGACTCAAGTTCCTGTTGCACTCGGGTAAATCCCACTAGGGCAGAGTTTCTGGATTCGCTCTCAGCCCCTATTGTTCCCAGTCAAGCAGCCAGGTAGGGGAAAAAAAGCCAGCCCCAGGGAAACACATCAGAGGCTCCATCCTTGGCACAGGTGGGCTGTCTTTAGGTCAGATGAGATCCCACTGGGTAAAGCTAAAGAACAACCAGGGCCAGGTAGATAGATGTCCCTTGTTCATCAGCCCTGGCCCTAGAGTCTAGAAGATGTGGGAAAAGTAGGAGAATCTCTGCAGCCTCCTTCCCAAGCACTCATCCCAGGATGCCTGCAGTCATCCACAGTGTCAGCCTTGAGATACACACAACCAGCAGGCACCTCCACTGCGCAGGTTACACTCCCCAGCAAAACAGAGCAGCTGCCAACTTTCTTCAGAGCAACGCGGTTTGAGGTTTCTCTCTGGCGTCCCGCCTTGATGGTGCTGTAGAAAGTAGAGCGAGCACATATGGGCATGTGGAAGCATCAACAGTTCTGTTCAAGCCCACAGTGTTCCTGCCGGCCATGCTGGACTCCACTGGGCTGCATGAGAGTGACAGGCTCGAATGTCCCTTAACAGTCACTTGGCTGGGAACCTTGATCTTCGGCTTGTCATGAAGCTGTGTCCACCTGGCTTCGACTTGTCATGAAGCTGGCTTCCCTGTTCAAGCAGGTCCAGAGTGCAGACATCCTCACCAAGAACTGACACGCTCAAGCAGTGGCTGCATTGTGGTACATACTTAGCAATAAGCAAACAATACTAGGGTTCTCCCTGGGGACTGTGCCCCTCCAGACTTTGAAGCAGTCTCCATCCCTCAGGGCTTCCTTCCCAGAACAAGCTCATCCTCTTTTCTCTCTTACCCACCCAAGCTTAAGGATGGTGAAAATCGTTTGTCTTAAAACCACCAGCAGCTGTGATCTTTCTCCGAGCACTTGAGCTTTGCCTCGTAGTCTTTAAGCATCCATAATTTAGGCTAAGAAAAATATTTGTGTGTGTGTGTGTGTGTGTGTATGTGTGTGTGTTGCATATATGTGTTTTGTGCAGCAAGCACATCACCAACTGAACCATCTCTACAGCCTACCGGAAGGCTTGCTGCAGCCAATTGACTCTAAGCCATGCTTACTAAAAACAGCTTTGAGATGCCAATATGATAGGAAGAGCATAGATAGTGGGATAGGATTGGCAAGACATGTGGACAAAAGCCAAACAGGATACAGACTGAGCAACATGGAGAGAAAGGCCAGGTAGATAATCCCAGGAGAGTCTGCGCCTCTGACCACACAGCTAGGAAGTGGCTGTGTGCATCGTGCAGATGTAGCTTAAGTGTCCCAGCACTTACGAACCGGAGCATCATTGCAGTGGTTTCTGAATGGACTCCCCACCTCCACCCAGCCATCTCTCCCACTGCACACCACCATCCTGCCAGAAAGCCACCTAGTTTTGACATGCCCCTGTCCTGGGTTGTGTGTGATTCAGGGCCCTCCTCCACTGACATCCATTCTGCCCCACTGGGAAGATGAGTTCTCTCCCAAGACCCTCAAGTGCTGACCATCAAATTCTCTAGTCTCTCATATTTGTTTTGCCGTAGATCCTTTCGATAACATTTTGAAAAGAATCATGTGGTCAAACCAGAACCTCTTCGGTTGTAGCGCCCCCTCCTTTGCCCATGGTAAATACTCAATGGATACATACTACACTGAACAATAGTTCCTAGGTGGCTTGTGGAAACCAGATTTCTCATTAATGGGGGAGGAAAAGGTGTCTGTTATGAAGACATATGTCTCAGCCTGCTAGAAAGAAATACCCCTTCTAGTAAAAACCCTGGCAACCCCTTTTTATTTTAGGGATTTGTCAGCTGGGTTCCAATCCTGAAAAAATCCAGACCCGTTGTCCTCTAATCTGTTGTTTGATTTAAATTTGCATTATCATCTTGGATCTGGACCAGAGGAGTAATTGGAGAGAAGCAGAGGAGATGGAATGTGCTTTGAGCAGTGTTTCCAGTTCCATGGAGAAGACACCAGATCCTGGTGAACCAGCAGGGCTGCTGGTGTGGGCGAAAGGAGCAGAGTCCGGTGTTGGAGGGTGACATTGTCTTCCCTACCACGCATCCTCACGACTCATCAGGAGGAAACAATTCCCTTCCTGTACCTAGTTCCTGAAAGGCAAAATGTGAATAAATGCTGGCCCCAACCGCCCCTCTTTTATGGAAGGCATCCTGCCCATACCAGGGCTCCCTGTCAGACTGTGTCTTGGTGTTGAGAAACTATTTTCTCTGGATAGAAATAGCCCCTCCTGGAAGGAGCCATAGCAAGTTGACAAAGTGAAAAGGCTCAGGACACTCAGAGAAAGTTAAAAGATCAACAAAGCCCTTTCCAAGGTATTAAACAGCTGCTGGGGTGGGGGTGGAAGAGCCTGGTGGGAGGTGAGTCTCTTCAATGGAGCTGCCTGCAAGTTGAGTGGGATTGCTTTCCTGAGTCATCACCTATATTGGGCTGGGCTTTTTGGTAATACAGCTATCATGGAGTGACTCAGGCTACTATAGTCACTAGATTTGGGTGACACCATTTTCTTAATCTCTCATTGGTACCATATCTGGGTCAAATAGATGCTTGTTCATGTCACTCCAGGAAGAGTCACAAGACACCTGGAAAACCTTACTTGCTGGTTCTTATGCTGATATTATCTCAAATTGTTTGAGTGTATCTCAGTCTTTGGAGGTTGGGGACAGCACGGGGGAAGTACAACTGGCTTCTCATTGTGATAAGAAATCATATTGCTTAAAGTCATCATGGAATGTACCCAACAGACTAGTACAAAGAATGAGACTCCCCTAGAAATGTGAAAGAGTGTAGGTGGCATTTATTCTCCCCCCAACAAAAGCCCTGCTGTGCGCTCCAAACTGGAGAACAAAGACAGAGGTGGCAGAGATTTGAGAAGAGCAGAGAAGACTTCTAAAGGATTCTCATCGCCATGTGTCTGCTTAACCAAGCTCTTGTTCCTTGGTACATTCACATGTGGACTTTACATAATACAGTACCCTGTCAAAATAACGAACTAGCTATATTCCTCAGTCTTGAAGGTAGCTTCCTAGCCAGAGTTGGAGTTCCTAATGATTGGCAATGTGTTTCATGCTGCATTTAACAGTGAGTCTCAATGTAGCCTAGGATTAATGGAACCCTCTCTCCACAGGCACAAAGGACACACAAAAAGGCCCCTAAGTGCAGCCGAGTGCATCACTCCTCTGAGAAGAAGCCTCATTCCACTCCTACTACAGACATCAACACACCAAACACAGGACAGGGCAGCAGCCAGACAGCCCTACATGACAGCCCATCCAACCAAATGGCCCTGCTTCCTGGGAACAAACAGGAGTATACCCCACAGTCAAGCACCTCCAGCCAGGCATGGTCTTTCCAGAGAAGCAAGTCTTTGTTTTGTTTGCCCAGTGGAGGTCCCTCCCCAACTGAGTCACAGCCACTACCGACTGGTTCCCAGAGACACAGTGCATCAGAGTGGAAGCCCAGCCGCCTCATGTCCATTGATGACTTAGAGGGGACCCAAGAGACAAATGTGGACACAGGCCTGCGGCTGTCCTCCTCAGACCTGTCTGTGGTCTCTGCATATTCTGCCCCCAGTAGGTTTTGCAACACAGTAGAGGCATCCATCTCCTCTGAGAGATGTAGCAGCCACTGGCCAGCACAGAAGAGTCCCAAGAAAGGACCACTGCCTGCTGCCATTGAGGTGAGCCCAGATACAGCCTGTGTTTCCCACCCTCTCTTCACCAAAGGATCCCCCAGCCCTGCAGAGGTAACTACTACTGGTCTTTCGGCGTCCAGTGCCTCCTTGCTCACAGAGTCATCCACACTCCCACCATGTCATGACCCCAAAGCCACACAGGGTGTCCAAGACATGCTACTGCCTCCAACAACAGTTGGTCCCGAGGCTGAAGACATGGAGGAGTTCTACATCTGAGCACGTCTTGTCTTTCAGATAGACTCAGTCACAGAAACCCGGGTACCACTGTGCCCAGCTCTTTGTTTGCAGGGTGCTCTCAGTCCCATTTGCCAGCTGACTAGAACTTAACTGTCTTGGGAGACTGTTAGCATGTTGATCATGCTACCTATCCTTAGCTGACGGGTGCCATATTTCTAGAGGTTCAGAAGAAAGAAAGAAAAAGAAAGAAAGAAAGAAAGAGGGAGGGAGGGAGGGAGGGAGGGAGGGAGGGAGAGAGAGAGAGAGGGAGAGAGGGAGAGAGAGAGGGAGGGAGAGAGAGAGAGAGAGAGAGAGAGAGAGAGAGAGAGAGAGAGAGAGAGAGAGAAAGAAAGAGAAAGAAAGAAAGAAAGAAAGAAAGAAAGAAAGAAAGAAAGAAAGAAAGAAAGAAAGAAAAAAGAAAAGAAGAGAAACAAACACCTGACATTTTTATGGAAATAAATTTTCAACACACTTAAATCATAAAATCTATTTTTGAATGCTCAACTATACAATTTAATGCTTCACATAATTATTTGAAATGATAAAGAAAACATAGCCAGAGCTGACTTGACAATTGTTCATATTCTGAAAGTAAAATAACCAAGGTCAAAATGTTGAACGGGGAAAGGCCATCCAGTAACAGGTCCAGCATCAGTGTTCAGAACAGAATGCATACCTTCCTGATGCCCACAGTCACAGGACACTAGAATCCAGAAGTGCTGCTTCCAGTGGCTGCTTCATAGGAGAGCCATCAACCTACAACAGACAGCAGAATACCTTGCTTTGAAGCCATTCAGCACTTGAAAATCTGGGCCTACACACAACTGACTAACAAACCTTATAAAGACTTAGCATGAGTAACCAATGCCTTGCACACTTGCAAAATACTCTGAGTATGAAACCTAGTTTTGCACACTCTTCCTCAGTCGACTCACACTGGTAAGCAAGCCTGCAGACTGTCCCCTCTGGACTGATTTGTGTTAAGAGTACTCATTGCCTGCAGTTACAAATAACAGATTATGTGAGTTGTACTGGGGAAACAGGTGTGAGATTCTCTGACTTTAAAAAGCACACATTTTAAAAAGGGCTACATACATCTCTCTATAAATGACCAGAGCCATCTTTTGTATTTTGTAGCACTGTCTACAGTAAACCGTTAAAATGTTTGGAACATTTTTGGCTGTCCTTTTGATTGTCCATGTGAGCCAGGGCCCCATACTCCAAAGTAAGAAAGTGTGCAATGCCGTCCCACAGGGCCAGCCTCCAGTGAGTGCACAGGAGCCTTAGGGAGAGTGAGCACTGCAGCCACACCAGCTTTCCCCATCTGTCATCTGTTGCTGCCACTGTGTGAAAGGACCTCCCGGTAAGGCTATGTTTACAACCCCAACCTCACCGAATGCCAACTTCTGGCATTGAAGGCAATGCCAATTTATCCCCAGGCTCTGTTTGTCCTTGGGAAAGAAAGGCATGGGTGTATACTGTTCCCTGGCAGGCGTGGTACTTCTTCCCCCCTCTCTGGAAGGGCCCACACCAGCTCAGAGGCAACCTCGGAGCCTTTCCAGCTTGGCCTTCAAGCCCTCATATCCATCACTGTCCATCAGCCTCAGGTTCTTCATCCTCACAAGGAAAGCCTTGGGCTCTGACTTGCCTCAAACACTTTGGACTTCCCAGGACTCTGGGTTCTATTCCAGTGTAAATAAATAAAAACATGGTCTCTTCTGATTCCGAATCAGGATTAAGCCAACTTCTGAAAAGGGCTAAATGATAAATATTTTAAAGTTTGTCAAGTCATGTTTTAAACTTTATCCAAATGTGTTGCTATTGCTTCTATTGCAGCATGAAAAATAAAAGGTATGTGAATGGGAGTGGCTGAGTTGCAGTCAGAATTCATTTCTACCAGCAGGTTGTCGCCATTATTGGCTCAAGTGGCAGTTGGGGAGCCCTCAAGACAGACTGCTGTGGAAGGTTGGCTCAAGATTCCAGCTGGCCATCAGCTTAGGTTTTCCAAGCCTCTGATGGGAAGATGGTGATGACGACAACAACACTCCAAGAAGCTCAGTTTCTCAGGTCAGGCCAGTGGCAGCAGAGCCACAGGCTCAGAATGCAAGGGGATGCTCTCTTCTAAGCTGATTCCCAATAAGCCCCTGTAGCTCACCCTAGCCAGAAGTACGACTCTAATAGCTGATAGTGATAAAAACAAGTTAATCTCAGAAAGGAGAAAAAAATAATTTAGGGGTGATGGTAGGCCTCTGGGACAGGATCCAGTGTGTCACTACCAGGAGTCAGGAAGGTAAAAGTGAGTGTCCTGGATCAGCAACTGCCTTTGTTCCCCAGGGCACCCCCTACCCTTTCCTCTGTGAACTGCTCCCTTCCCCCCCACCCCCCACACAATCCTGTCTGCCAAGCTGAGTGACTCTTAAAAGCTGTCAGAGATACCACATAGAAAAGAGGCTTGTGAGTACCCTTTCCTGCTGTAGTCCACACCCAGGCTCCCTTGGACTGGCTTCGAGATGGAGGGAGTCTACAGAGGAGTTACCTGTAGGGATTAGTTCTGATACTAAGGTCCTGTTTCCCAGTTGGTTCTTGATCCATCAATAAAGACACCAGCGACCAATGACTGAGGATGGGGTGGAACACTTAGAGTTGCCCCGGGAGGAAGCAAGCAGAATCGAAAGGGGGGTTGGGGAAGGAGGAGTAGCTGCAGGAAATATAGCCAACCAGACACTTGAGTTTTCAGTTTAGAGTGGCCAATGGCCACTCTATCCGATTATGCCTGGGATGGCAGGAGAGATTTAGCAGTGCTCAGCCACTGAGTTAGCAAAAGCATTTTAAGATTAACTTATGTGGGTTGTTGTTATTGTTGTTTTTTATCAGTAGATTCAAGGGAATCTGGGTGGGGGCTAGTAGCATGGCCCATTCCCAGAGCTGAGGCAGGGTAGCAAAAGCTACATGCACCAGCTACCTTCTGTAAAACCTCGTTTTCACCCTGTGCTAACTAGTGCTTTCCTCCTGGCACTCACCAGTGGATCCTGACTCTTAGAGCAGTACTGACCTTACGACAGGTACTGGAATCCAATAGGTGAAACATAAATTTGTTCAACTGAAAAATGTTGAGATGACATCATAAGCTAGTCCTCTTCTAAAGTGGATTCAGTGATGTAGGGGGTGTCCATCGTATTGTTCCCTCTATGTTGTCTAGTAAGACGCAATATCTTGCCTCCTTGACCTGAAACCACTCCACCCCAAGCTGTGCCCGGAGGACTGACTACTGAATGCCTTGGTCAAGTTTACACTGCATTCCTTATTTGCCTTGATTCTTAATTACTGCTCAGGGTGTCACTTTGTCCTACACTAAGCACTACCTAGTGTCTGCTTTAAGACATCAAATATTTCTCAGTCTACCCCCAACTGGGCTGACACACTACAAAAATCACCTTGAGTTACATCAGTTGGTTAAGTGTGTATCAGAGGGACTCATAGGGACAGGGATGACCTCTTATGACAGGAGGAGGGGTGGTATTTGTTTAAACAAATTGGCTTTACTGCTGGTGTTCCTTGAGTCTCAAGGCCCAAAGAGTAGGAATGTAGGAGCAGAGAAGGATCACATTCCTTCATCTAGGGTCCCCAGGGAGACCAGATGTCTGCTTTTAGCCAAGAATGCTTTAAGTGCATGGCCGATGTCTTTATCCATGGAAAACCAGAAGAGATGTTTGTGTTTATAGAGCCCTTTCTCCCTGTAATGAATGAATTCCCTAATCCATCAGCTATCAGGCACCTGGTCAGACTAACAGAAATAGAGAAAAAATTAAGGGCAAATGAAACCAACTATGGAGGAGGACTGTGGGCATAGCTCAGTGCTGTAGCATTCGCCCAGCATACCTGGCTCAGTCTCAGCATTAAAATAAAAAGAGCTGGAGAGATGGCTCAATGGCTAAGAGTACTTGTCCCTCATTCAGAATCCCTCTCCTGACCTTCATAAGTACCAGGGCATGCATATATGCTAAATACTCATACACATAAAATAAATCTAAGACTAATAAAAATGTAAACAAACTGTGGAGTCCTCCATTGTACACCCTGACAACCTCGTCAGCAACAGTTCATGCAGGGAACACCAGGCCTGGATGTCAGCGGAGCTCTGGGATTAAGTGGACAGTGGCCTCCTCCCCACCCAGGTGCCATTGCTCCATGGGGCTACTCTTTGCTGGGTTTCACCTCTCCTGGGTCCTCTGAAAAGGCTTGAGAGAATAAAAGTGAAGCCATTGTTTGGGGGAAAAGATTCTTAGGGGAAATATACTTCGTCACAATTTGTTATTGCAACAAATGGATTTATGAAGAATCAGGAACCTGAATATAAAATTTATATGTAAGTATATTTTTTCAACTTTTGTCAAGGGCTTCTTCTAATTTAGGGGCATAGAAGGCTAGTTACTAAATGGCTTTAAATGCCATATTCCCTACTAGTAGATAACACAGGCAAAGACAAACAGTTGCATTGGTCTCTCAGATCTCTTTAATGAAGGACCCATCCATTGTTTGGTTGTTGTTATTGTCATTGTTGTTTTGAGTTTTTATTTTGGGGGGGTTGGTTTTGGTTTTTGTTTGTTTTGTTGCTGTTGTTTAGTTAAGTTTTTTTTTGTTTTTGTTGTCACTATTGTTCTGGGCTCTTTTGATTTTTTGGTTTTTTTGTTTTAGTTGTTTTATTTTGTTTTGTTGCTGTTGTTTGGTTTGGGGGGTTGCTTTTGTTTTTTGTTTGTTTTGTTTTGTTGTTCAGTTTTGGGAGGACTTTTTTGGTTTTTGGTTTTGTTTGTTTGTTTTTTAGAGGAGGCATGTCACTACCAGTAGTGTATTCCTTTCAGACAGATGTCCAAGGACACTTGGTGATGGAGAAGATGCTCCTTCGGTGCCCACAGCAGCCTCCCTGAATGCTCCACTTGGGACGGTCATAGTAAGCTTTCTGTTGCTGTGATAATCACTATGACCAAAAGCACACTGTGGAGGAAAGTGCTTATATGGTTTATACATCCCAACCAGTCCACCATGAAGGGAAGTCAGGGCAGGAACTCAAGGCAGGAACCTGGAGGCAGGAGCTGATGCAGAGGCCATGGAGGAGTGTGGCTTACTGTCTTGCTACCCACAGTTTACTCAGCCTGCTTTCTCATACCACCCATGGCCTTTTTTATACCACCACAGTGGGCTAAGCCCTCCCACATTAATCATTAATCAAGAAAACCTTCCACAGACTTGCCTGCAGGCAATCCGATGGAGGCATTTTCTCATTGAGGTTCCCACTTCCCAGGTGACAAAAAAGGTGTGTGACATTGACAAAAAACAAACCAGCACAAGGACAAAGTCCCACCTCCAGGTGCCTGGGCCAGCCCCCACCCACTCCTTCCATTCCTTTAGGAATGTCTGTGACAATGACCATATAAGTTTAATGTCTAGGAGAAACCTGAAGCCCCATTAAGGCAGCTGTGTTTATCTCCAGCCCTGATCCCAGGGCTTCTAGACTGGGATCATCACAGGTAAAGTGGCCTGCCAGGGACCATCTGCAGGGAGAAATTTCCAGGCCAAAGGACCTCCCTAAAGAAGACAGTGGAGAGTTCTGGTGCCTCCTGGTGGCCACTGCTACCAAACACAGCAAACCCTGTGCCCCTTTCAATCAAAATGATCTATCAGAATAGAGAGAAGCCATTTCTTCTCTATTTATTATTCTGAGGTTCACTTTCAATTTTGTTTCTCTACAAAATACTGAGATAAGTTAAATTATATAAATAGAAATAGAAAATTTGTGCCAAAAAAGAAGTCTACAAATATATCTAGCAATATGAAGAAAAACATAGCTGCACTAATTGAATGTCCTGAAAGCCAGCAAAAAGGAAAAAGTAAGCAGCTTTATAGAACTGTAAACATAAATACACATATATATGCATACAGATATGTATACATACATGTAGATATACATACACATGAATACACAGATACACATACATATACACATAGATTGACATACACATATGTATATACATACATATACACATATATAGATACACATAAATATATGTATATGCATACATATATGTGTACACATACATATATATACACATAGAGATACAAATACACATAGATATATGTATATACATACATATATGTATACACATACAGATATATATATACATACATACAAATATACATACATATATGCACATACATATACAGATACACATGCATATATGTATACTTATACATGTGAAGATATACATATATGTATACATATACACATGCAGATACACATACATATATACATGCAGGTACATACATATGTATACACATACATATACACATGCAGATACAGACACATATATGTATATACATACTTATACACGTTCAGATACACATACATATATGAATGAGGGAACTAGTGATGACTTGTCATCTCAGTGCAAACTCTCAGAGAAAAATCAAGGAAATTTTAGAACAGATTCCTAAAATCACCTTCTCTCCCAAGTTACTACTTCAGTCCACGTTAATGACCTGGAGGGGAGGTCACCCCATTCTTGTGCCTCTTCAGACATCTTGCAGCTACACTGTGAGGTCGAGGAATTCCTAGGAGCTGTCTTCTTCCAGTTTTTTTAAGCTTTTGCATCGTTAGGAAAACTGAGGGCAGAGGCAAGACTAACATGCTCTCAAGAGCTGCTGTCCTAGCCTGTGCTGATGGACGGCGTCTGGCTGGCTGGCTGATGGAGGGCTTCTGTCCGTCCAGCTAGCTCCATCTGCATCCTCAAGCATCGTCTGCAACCGCAAAGGCAGCTTCGGTTCTCTAGTCTCCCCAGCTAGAAGAGGAGCAGACATTGTGAACTAGGTT